CCCCCATTCCGGCATCAAATCGGGATCATGCTGTTCGCTATCAGTTTGCGCGGATGCGCAGGCTGGTCTGGATCCCTGCTGGTCACCAACGCACTATGTTGGTTTTGTCGAGACGCGGCTCAATAAATATTATCAAAATAAGATGCACATGAAAGAATAATGGAAAGGAGAAACATATGAATGAAGGAAAGAAGATAACCAATAATGGAAGTGTGATGGACATAAATAAATGAAATTTAACACATGGAAATGAAAAGGTGATATGAAAGATGGATTTTCTTTTTAAAAAAAGGAAGGGAGATAGAAATGAATGAATGAATGAATGAATGAATGAATGAATGAATGATGAATGAATGAATGAATGAATGAATGAATGAATGAATGAATGAATGAAAGAATGAATGACAGGAAATTAATCAATCAATGAATCAAGCTAAAATGCATCCTCACGCCATAATTTTTTTTATGAAGTTTTTTTTTTTTGCTTCAATAAAAAACATATTTTTTAACTCAATTATTAATTTCTATGGCCTTAGAGGACAGAGTAAGTTACATATATCTGAACATGTCAAACTTACTAGTCCAACGTCATTCTTTATATAATAAACACCCCCTCACAAATTTAAAACAAAACCTTAAAACAACTTTGAAAATGATTTTCTTTGAATACAATGAAAACGTATGAAATATTTCATTCATTGAAGGAAAAAAACTGCTGTTTTAAAGATTTTGTTTTACCTTAGTTATGATAAAAGTCAAGTGAACCTAATTTGAACAACAATCAAGTTGGCTTCTGGCAATCAACCAATACAGTATCATATGAGATATTACAATCACCAGAAAAACTTGTAAAATATGATCCCTTGACAATGTACATACAACTTTACAAACTGCTAGTTAGCTTGTCTGCTTCAAAGAAAAAGTCGAGCTATTATGATCTATGTGCCGTAATTGTTGTCATTTAAAAAATTATCAACATGAAACTTGGAATACATGCTTATCATGACAAGGTGCAGTTGTTAGACAAAAGCAATAATTCTGAAAAGATAATGCACCGTTTTTAACTTGCATTTAACAGGCGAGCGTTAACACTGCATGCGTTCCTCTTGTTTACAATGACTAGAGGAGCCTTTTAAATTTCTACGTATTATCATTTTCAGCACCTTTATTAGAACACAGTGGTAATAATCATTATTAAAATAATGTTTATTTATGTAATCATATTTCCTGTAAACTTAACATTATAGACAAGGTTGAACTGACAAAAATACAAAAATAATCGGTCATACAAGGTAGGAGTGATTTTCCTGACTGATTTTATTACATATCCTAATTTGTAAAGCAGACACCTTGGTTTTAACACAATTCATCTTCAAAGTAACAACTGTCTTACAAACAAGATTTGACTAAAAAATTAAGATTTTCTAAATCACCAATCATTTAAATAAACTGATTTTCAAGGGTAACTTACCCTTACATATATTTTCAAGAAGAACTTAATAGTTGTCTCCCTTACAATACTTAATTTCTGATTCACCAAAGGAGCTCACTCTTCCAAGAATAATTCAACTAACAAAATTTAAAAAAAAAATAAAAAAATCTCTTACCTGTAAATTGTAGCTTGGAAGCCAGTAAGTCAATCTGTGTGCTTTTTACAACTTGCAAAAAAGCCAGTTTATAGCAGACGTCTTTTAGTGGACACCATAATCATTTCCAAGTCTCTGTGATAACTTTCGGACAACACTCCCTTCAGGCTCTCCCACTCTCTTCCTGCGTCTGAAAAAAATCCTTCCGTAGAAACCTGCCTACACTCTTACATTTCACAATCCCCTTAACCAATGAAATTTGATTTCAAAAATCAATCTAGATTTTTACAAATGGCATTGTGGACATTCATAGCAAATCAATGTACTGTATTTCATCTCTAAGAATTCCCGAAGGAAAAATATTTCTAACATTTTTTAGTGTTTTAAAAACTGAATTTGAATACAATATCATGTTGTCATTTGATTATGGAGTTGTAATAAAGTCTTTATTCAAATAAAGGGAAAAAAAACCCAACAAACTGTGGTGCCTTTATGAATTTCAAAAGATTACAAAAAAACAACAAAAAACTAGCAATACAGAAATGATGCCTGCCATTGGTCACTTTTAAATAAGAATCAACCAATCAGAAACCTTTAACATTTTGTCAAGATCATATTTTAGTTGGGTGTTCAGTCACACCAACAAGTTTATTACTGCAAAGGCCGGTGCTTGAGGGCATGGGGGATGTTATACTTTATCATTATTCCTCATGTACACAAACAATGTCTGCAATTTTTATGTAATTTTGTTGTGATAAATGCTTCTGAGGGATCACCCTTTTTCAAGATTTCTAAATTTACTGTTGGAGGTAGACCCCTGGTGCATATTGTTCCAAGCATAAAAGGGCACCCGAGTAAAACCACTGACCTTCCATCAACATGAGAGAAAAGAAGGCCCAGTGATTCTAAGGCACCAATCTAACCACCCTACCATGCTGTCTGCCATGCAACACTGCCAAAATGGCTGACTGGTATAAAAACCGAGTCCTTAACCTCAAATCAGTCATGACCCTATTGCAACAAGCAGCATATATGTCATGGAATTGTTGCAGGCAAAAATTTTGGTGTTACAGATGAAAATACACAAACATATTTATCTTTTCCACCTGTCACAAAAACATTTGGCAGACCTCCATTCTAGATAGATAGTTTTTCAATGCTTCTCTCTTGATCTATACCTTCTAATGTATGTTTTATCTTGCTTCTTACGTAAATTTCATGACACACTTGAAATAAAGGTAAAACTCTAGAATTAAAAGTTTCAGTGCTTGCATTTTTTTTATTCATTTTTCATGGTTATTTGTTTGCTCTCTTTGAGATTCTTCATTTTTGTGGGGTTTTTTTGTTGATACAAAAACTATTTTTACATAAAAAGAATTACTTAGAGATGAAATACATGTCAATATTTTCACACATCTTTTTAACAGAGTTTGACAAATATTATTTCATCGCAAATTTTCTTTTCTTAAATATTAGAAAGGTTATGATATTTAAAGAGCTCCACTGTGGTCCAAAAAGCTAAAAACATAAAATTTTAATTTGTTACATCAATCAGATTGGGGGCTATGCAAAAGATAATTAAAAAAATAAACCCAGAAAAAAATCAAATACTAATCTTAGTCTGATTTGAGAGTACTGAAATTTTTTTTACAAGTTACTGGTCTAGACCTTCAACAAATGGAACATTAATCTCAAAAAATTATCTTTAATCCTGTCATGTCAAAAAACCACAGTGGAGTCCCTTTAAAAACAAAACAAAAATAAGATTATGCTTGCTTACAAATGTCTTGAAAAATTCCAAAATAAATGAAATGAAAGCATAGAAGAACATTATTATTGACTTGTTTGTCTCTTCAAAAAGAAAAGAAAAAAAGAATGATCTGAATAGAAGAATATTATTTTTTATACAGCAAGAACGAAATTTTTCATTTTTAGATTCTGCTTTTCCAAACAAATATAATGTTTTTGTTACGCTTATTTCATGGCATTTATTTCAATAATTGGTTCTACCTTCTTCTTGTCAACAGAGTTCAAATGTTATGAAATCATCAAAATTTGCCATTGGCTACTACTATGTCGTTATTTATCGACTACTACTTTATGTATTTTATTCGGGCACTTCAGGTTACGAAATTGTTATGACTTAAAAGTCCCTAAATTAAGTCATTTTTGACAAAACTAATTCAAATATACAAAATAAAGATGATTTCATGTCAAACTATAATATACATATTAAGGCCAGACTGATACTGTATGTTTCTAGTTTCCTCTAGGATACAGTCAGCTGAATTGGTGAGCTGTTTTTAGCATTTTTGAAAGTATTTTTATTTCATGCATTTAAATAAATAGTTTTGTGTTAATATACAATATAAATATAAAAATTTATTGTCCCTGAGAAATATTTAACCATGATAAGAAAATTAGAAACATACATCACAGACATAATTAAATTGTTTAAAAAGAATGTTTGAAATTTTGAACTCTATTGACAAATCTATATACTGTGTGCCAAAAGAATATGAGATATAATTATAAATAGTAACAGAATTTTTTCTTATGCCAATCAATGGAAAGTGAGATACAATATATATCTCTCACTCACAGTGTAACAGTCAAAGTGAAAACTGATTTTTACCCTCATCAATTAACATAAAGAGTAACAGAACTTGTTTGTTAATATTATTTGAACAGGGTTTACATCGTGTTTTTAATATTTTACAAGAGCTACACTCCTTTTGGATTTTACAAAATTCTTACTTCAAATCATTTAAAAAATTCATTTTCACTTAAATAATAATAACAAACAAATACATGTACCCTCTTTATCTACACTATCAAGGGGAGATTATAATAACAACACAAAGGGGAGGTAACTAACGAGTACATACTGTGGTTGTTCACTTTGTACAGAGGAATGGCGAGACATGGATTTTGGAGAAATGTCGTAATCACTGTCAGACCTATAAAGGAAGGACTCGCGTCGTTGTGGAAGATTCTGTAATATGAGGCCACCAGAAGGGCTGCTTCCCTCGAGAGGCCCTCGTCCGCCACTTGCTCCATTTTCAACATCAAAACTGAAATAGAAAATTGTTGTTATGAAGCTAAATGAATTTATTTTCAAGAGGGGTACTGATGTTCTTGATACATTTTGATTTAATGGGATATATGACAATTTTCTGACAGCTGGAGGGAAGACAATTTGCTGTATGATTACTGTATTAAATAGAAATAATCATTCAATAATTTTATACTGGTCAAACTCAAGTCATTCTGGTCAAATGGATGCCATTACTTAAAAGTCAACATATTACCAATATGTCATTTAGGTCAAATACGATTTATCAAGATCAACAACAAATCCGTTTCAAGTTATGAGGATTTTCATCAAGCTTCAAGAAACATCAAGGTTATATATAATTGTGTTGAACTACAAAACCAGGACACATCAAGATCAATTGCCAGTACCTTAGGACTATAAAACCTTGAAACATCAAGGTTAAATGTACATGTTGAACAACAAAACCATGGCACATCAAGATCAACTACCAGTATTTCAGGACTATAAAACCTTGAAACATCAAGGTTAAATGTACATGTTGAACAACAAAACCATGGCACATCAAGATCAATTGCCAGTATCTTAGGACTATAAAACCTTGAAACATCAAGGTTAAATGTACATGTTGAACAACCAAATAATGGGATATCAAGATCAACTGCCAATATCAAAGGACTATAAAATCTTCAAACATCAAGGTTAAATGTACATGTTGAACAACCAAATAATGGGACATCAAGATCAACTGCCAATATCAAAGGACTATAAAATCTTCAAACATCAAGGTTAAATGTATATGTTGAACTACAAAACCATGACACATCAAGATCAAATATCAGTATCAAGGACTATAAAACCTTCAAACATCAAGGTTAAATTTATGTGTTGAACTACAAAACCATAGGCACATCAAGATCAACTGCCAGTGTCAAAGGACTATAAAACCTTGAAATCACAAGTTTAAATTTGAATATTAAAGGATAAAATATTCAGACCAATCAAGGCCAACTAAGGAGAAAGCAGTGCCCTTTTAAGTGCATTGTGTATTACCACAATCATGAAGGTGAATTTTATTTTGTAAAAGTAAAACATTTTAATCAAAAATCTTAAAACTCTTCAATCATTAAGAATAACTATTGCAGAATGATGATTACCAGTACATGGCAAAATAAATTCTGTGTTATTTATACACATGTTTTCCCTCAAATACCTTGATGTTGTCTTGAAGCTTTTTTTGCAAACTCAAAATCTAAATGCAGGGTAAAGTTTCTAATTTAGAGAAGTATTTTTTTGCAATATGCCTTTTTGCTGAGCAGATGTTCTTATTTTTACACTTATTTTTGAAATTGTATACTTTCTAAATAGCAGTTGCCTGAAAACAGTTCAAGCTGTTTCTTGAATAATACAAGTTCTCAAATAGACCTTATAGATTTCACAAGTGTAGTGTTCTATAACTGAAAGAGTCAATAGTTCTTTTGTAAACATGGAAGACAACATTGGAGCCACGTCACAACAAAACCAACATAATGGGTTATCCAGACCAGCCTGCCCATCCGCGCAGTCTGATCAGGATCCATGCTGTTCGCTTACCAACCCTATTACAAGTAGAGAAACTGATAGGGAACAGCATGGATCCTGATCAGACTGCACGAATGCGCAGGCTGGTCTGGATCCATGCTGGTCGCAAACCCATTATGTTGATTTTGTGGTGACGTGGCTCATTTGTTTGCAGAGCATATAGCAATGTATCCTATTTCATGTGTAACATATTGAAGTTATGATTAAGTTATATAATCCAATCAATCAGATACAAAAGAACATTGCTGTTCTTTGATTAAATATTTCTTAATCCAAATGTCACTTTGTTAATAATACATCATTAGCAGTGGCTATGTAGTTTAGGTGCTTTTTTTTGACGTTGTTGTTGGAAGCTATTAAATACCAATACCTAATTCTTTAACCCTTTTCTATTTCTTTAACATTAAGTTCTATTTCTTTAACAGTTAAAGCTCTATTTATAAGGTTCTATTACTTTAACACTATTTCTTTGAATCTATTTCTTTAACATTAAGTTCTATTTCTTTCTTATCTCCGTTTAGTCCATTCCTTATATTTTCTCCATTTATTTATTTAATTTTTTTTTTCTTTAAATATATTTTTTTACTAAGTAATAGCTTTGTAAAATATCATTATGAATGTATTTTTTTTCCAACTATCTTTTAATAGGGACATAACTAATCTTTATCTTTTCTCTCTCTTTTTTTTTCTTCTCATTCTTCATCTATCTTTCCTTTCTTTATACACTTTCTTTTCTCTCATTCTTACTTACTATGTACTTTATAGTACTATCAGTTCTTCTTAGCACTCATTTTCTTCTGTCAAAATCTTTTATAAAAAGATCTTAACATACAAATATACTTGTCATAATCTGATAACATTGAATTGACATTATTTTTTATGTATTCATTACATGTACTATGATTTGAATGTTTGTATATTTTGATTGAAAAATAAAAGAGAAAAAAAAAGTTCTATTTCTTTGGTTTTATTTCTTTCATATTAAGTTCTGTCTCTTTAATATTAGGATCTATTTCTTAAGCATTAGGTTCTGTTTCTTTGGTTTTCTTTTTTTAACACCTATGTTCTATTTCTTTAACATTAGGTGCTTATACCCTGCTATTAGGTTCTATTACTTAACATAGGTTCTATTTCTTTAACACTAGGTGCGCATTTTCTCTCTTATTAGGTTCTATTACTAAATAACACAGGTTTTATTTCTTTAACATTTGGTTCCATTTCTTTAATATTAAGTTCTTTTCTCTCTATTCCTTTACCAATATATTACATTTTTCAGAAATTGTGTTTGCTAAAGGCATTGTTGGAAAGGCAAGATACAAACTGTACAACGGTAATGTAACATACTTGTAAGGACTGGATAAACTAATGAGAATTTTATCAGATTATTATGGGCTGGCAAAATGGATCCATCTAAATTACTTCCAAAATGGCTGGCACTGTCAAGAAAAGCTAATTTTTTGGGAAAAAAATGGATATCTTTAAAAGAAATGCTTGAATCCTTTTGATGTTTGATGATTTTATAATACTTTGGGTTATATAACATGGAATAACATCAGTGTGCAATACCCTTTCACAGAAAATTGCAACTTTGATTTATTATCTTTATCTTTTCTGCATTTAAAAGCAAGGGTGATTTTACAGTCTTTCACATAGAGATGTTGACACATTAATAAAAAATAGTTGATCAATTTTAAGTTAAAACAGAAATACTTCAATGCTTTTAAAATGCAAGCAAAATGCTGCTTTCATGGCTTTTAATGTCAAACATAAAATGTAACTGTTGAAATCTTAATTGCACAACCATTATATAGATCTTAATATCACTATTTGTTAAAATACTCTATATTTAAATATATTACATGACTTAAGCATTTTTACTTACAACAACGATAAGTTGCAGAGCTCATGGTCTTAAAAGTAAATAATCAAAAGCTAAATAACAACATGTACCATTGGGTTCAAATTATCCTCCAATATTATGACATAAAAAAGTTCGAAGTATGAATAATTTATGCACCCAACTTCCTCAAGTCTCTCTAATTCATAAAAGACTCATATTACCTTGACCTATTGACCTACTTATACTTTTGGTTGATATTTACATTTACAAAAAAGTCACCATTAAACCTTTGACCTCAAAAACTAAAGTTTTTATCTTCTTTTTTTTTGCAAGAAATCTAAAACGTCTGATGAGTCATCGATAAGTCAATGTTGGAACAGAAAGTGACTATGCTGTAGCCAACAGTATAGAGCCAAGCCAGCCTGTTCATCTGTGGTTTCAGACCAAGCTATATGATGTTGGAAGGTAATTTTTTGTATTTATTTTGGTACTGAAATTCCTCCAACTTGAAATGGACTGTTCCAAAGAACTATCAGGTTATTGGGTGATTTATAATTGCTCCTTGTATGTATGTATAAAGTGTCACATATTGTTGAAAAATAAGACAAATTTCATTGAAATAATACATGCCACAATACCTGAGTTACTGTTCTCTCTTACAATTTTTTATCTCATCTTTACACTAAATTGATAATTTAATACTGGCAGAAAATGGTTGCTAAGCAATGATTTATAGAAAATCATTATCTTATTAGTTTTAAAGATAAACTGGGGAACAAAATATCACAAGTAACTGAAAAACCCAATGACATAACGAGATCAATAAATCAGAATTTAGTGCCATCTTTTTGTTTATATATCAATATAATTAAAATTCTAGGAAACTTCCGAGAAATCGTCTAACTTTGCAGAAAATCTGTTAGCAAAGTAAACTTAAAAAGAAAGACTGAGCTAAATGTTGCAGAAAACATTTTTTTGCATGCATCATTAAATCAGATAACTAAATGTTGCACAAAAAAATAGGTAATTCAACACGCATAATTACAACTAACACTTTTTCTGTGAGGAAGAACAGTGTAAAAAGAAATAAATAAAAATTCAAATGTCAAATTCAGAAGTTTTATTTCAAAAGGATCCTACGCTGATTAAAATGTTAAAGTTGAGACATTTAATGTAATTGCAAATACAATGCAGACTTGATTTAGAACAAAATGTCATAGATTAAGATTCAAGTACTGAATTATTTATTTGTCCCTCAATACCTGTTCAGTATAGAGGAATAACAACACTTCTGGTACAAATAATTTACCTGATTTATTTTAAACTTCAGCTGTATATTGTATAATATACAGGTTATTTTAAATTTTTTAATGTACTGATAATATAAAATATTGCAATATACTGGTTATCTTAAAATAAATCATAATATACTGGATATCTATCATATTGCAATATTTATAATGGTTATCTGAAATATTTCAATGTACTGGTTACCTAATAAATTGCAATCCACTAATTACCTAAATCTTGCAATATATTGGTTATCTTAAATATCTTAATGTACTCAGGTTATCTAAAAACTTGCCATATACTGGTTA